CAGTGTTGCTAGAAAGGGAGTTCCAGGATTTTGTCCCAGAGACTCTGAAGTGACTGTGACATATTTCCACGACGTATAGTGAGTGGCTTGGTGATGAACTTGTGGGTAGTGGTATTCCCATGCAGCTGCCATGCTGAATTGCAGAAGTCACAGAAGTCTCTCGGTGTTGAAAGAGGGCATTCAGCTCACCAGTTCTTCAAATGAGCATCATTACCCAAAGCCAATCTACTGCTTTTTTCCCCAATACCCTTGCACATTATTTTTATTCAAATAGTCATCAAAGGCCCTCTTGAATGAACCTGCCTCTTCCACACTTGTCCTTGCAAATGGTAGAGATCATGGGTATGGAATGTGCTGTCTAAGGAGTCTTTGGTGAGCTGCTGCATTGAATCTTGTAGATGGTACACACTGCTGCTACTGTGCATCAGAAGTGGGGGGAATTAAAATTGAAGTATCAGATGCCAGTCTAATTGACCATTTTGTCTTGGATGGTTTTGAGTGCTATTGGAGCTGCACTCATCCGGGCCTGTGGTGAATCTTCCATCTTATTCCTGACTTGTGCCTTGTAGATAGAGGACAGTCTTTAAGGAGTGAGGATGGAAATTACTTGCCACAGAATTATCTTCCTCTAACCTGCTCTTGTAGCCACGGTATTTATATGTGGCATTCAAGACGGCTTATGATGATTACTTATATAGAAATAGAGTGTAAGTGTGTGGGGAGAAAGCCAGAGATTGGCACTAGGTATAATGATGCTCATGAGGAGTTAATGTAGACAGAATGGCCAAATGGCCTCTTTATGCACTGTAATAATTCTGCTTTGGCAATTGTAAAGCCATTGAGTATCAAGGTTGATGACTGTACTCTGTCTTGTAGGATTTGGCCATGATCTAGCAGTCATGCGATGTGAATGCTATTTGCTACTTATCAGTCAAAGCCAGCATGTTGTCTAGGTCTTGCTACATTTGTATATGGATTGGTTCAGTACCTGAGGAGTTGCAAATGGTGCTGAATATGATGCAATCATCAGTGACCTTCCCCAACTATGATGAAGGGAAAGTCACTGATGGAGTAGATGAGGATGCTTGGGCTTAGGATCCTGACAAAGTCCTGCAGTGATGGCCTGTGGCTTCTGATCCACTAGATTCTCAGGACTAACAGAGAATTCCCACTGCCTGAAATATTAGACCATTGATTCTTCAGATGTTTGGCCACTCTCTGCTGGGAATTAACTCAGAAAATTTCAGCTTGAGTTATTTTCCCACAGAAAAATAGGGAATATGCTCCAGAACATAGTCGCCAGGAATTTTTTGTGGATTCGGCCAACATCTCTTTGCCAGATGAATGGATTAAACTCCCTAGGGAGAAAAATCAATAAGATATACACTGACTTTCTTCTTAAGTTACAATCATCAATGGCCAACTTTCAGACTGAAGAATGGCAATTTGGACAATTTGAAAAATACAGAAAAAAATGTTAACTTACACAGATCTAACATTTGAAAACTATCAGTATTCCTATTAGGTCTTAGTATAAAAATGGTAAGTTTGACCTTAAGTAATAGAATAAAGTGGATAATATCCAATAAGCCACCTTCCTCCATATTTCCCTCCTTATTTTCATTCTTTGTGACTTCAATCAGGAAAGATGTGTGGCAAAAAAAGTCTCTACTCATTTGTAGCTTAAAGTCCATTGCACAATTTGGTTAGACAAAACATTAACTTAAGCAATTTCATTTACCTACTTATGGATGTGAAGGAAATAGAAGTAGTACGGTATTTGGACCAACACTGCCATTGGGTGTTAGCCCCAAATCCAGATTCCTGCCTGCTCCTGATAAACTTTCATTCTCTCCCTACTTATGGATGTGAAGGAAATAGAAGTAGTATGGTATTTGGACCAACTCTGCCATTGGGTGTTAGCCGCAAATCCAGATTCTTGCCTGCTCCTGATAAACTTTCATTCTCTCATAGTTCAAGAATATGTCCATCTCAACCTTGAAATATAGTCAACCATTCAGCCTTCACAACTTTTGGAGGTTTAGAATTTTGAAGGATAAGAACTTGTAAAATGTAAAATCATCCTCTGTATAGTGCTGCATAATCATTTGGGTTTCAGGTATGTGCAAAAAATCCAATTACAGTCGTAAAATGTTCAATGCAGAAGGCCACTGTTTATGTTACAATCTAGATCTGCCTGGAAATGATCAACTTCATTACAATTTTGCATACTTGTTTAACTCATAATGACTTAAATGCCACAATTAGCTTGGCTAATATCATAAAACAATGTGCTCAAAATGTGTATATACACATCTCACAATCTCATAATCAGCCAATGTGTGATATATTTACCAATTATAAAAATCACATCATCAACATCCCAGGAAATACCTTCAACCAGAAGCTTAACTGGAGCAGCCATGTATGTATTGTAACTACAAAACCCAGGTCAGGGGCTGTGTAATCTGAAGTGAGTAATTTGCATCCTGACTTTCCAGCTGCAAAGCACAAGTGAGAAGGATGATGGAATATTCCACTTGCCTAGATAAGAACAACACTGATGAAGTTCAACACCATCCAGGACAAAATTAGTCTGCTTGATTGGCACCCATCCACTCACCCCCTCCAACACTGACTCACCATGTCTGCACTGTGTACCATCCACAAGATGCAATGCAGCAAGGTTTCTGCGGCAGAACTTCCCAAACCTGTGATCTCCACCACATCAAAGGAAAAGGTTAGCAGGCTAATGGAAACACCATTAACTTCAGGTTCACTGTCAAGCAACCCTGATTTGGAAATGTGGTGCTGTTCTTTCATCATCACTGGGTTGAATTGCAACCTCACAATATTGTTGGAGTATGTTCACCACATTGACAGAAGCAATTCGAAAAGGACTCACTACCTTCTCTAAGCCAATTAGAGATGGGAAATAAATGCTGATGTTTAAATTACATATAAATGATATGAAGGGGACAATTGCTTTTGATTGGACATAAGATATAAAACATTTCGATTACACTTAATAAGAGTATCATTTATGGGTCTGTTCAATTTAGTTGACTAAATGTCAAATTACATGACTGTATTGTATAATCATTTGGTCTGATTATATTATAGTTTTATAATATTCATAGATGATTATATTAGTTAATTTTAAATATAAATATTTAATTGTGCATATGTTGAATGATGTGACAGGATTTTAAAGGGTTGCCATCTGATTAAAATGCAATTTATTGGTATATGATTTATAGTCGATATATAATTACAAAATATTTTAATTTCAGCTATTAGTGTATGCTGTATAATTAGATCAAGTGTAAGGATGAGATTGTATAGCTCTGAGATTTGATGTGTTAATATTTTGTAAAGATTATTTTATTAGCACATGACTGTAACTTGTTAGTCAGTTGGCAGAGTTCCATTCTGGGTCACACAGTTGGGGGTTGTCACCCTGTACTTAAACTTGAGTGTATCATCTACACTGACAGCTGAGTGCAGCATGATGCTGATAGGTGTCCTTCAAATCTTGTTTGTACCTCCTATTTGGGAAAGATTGAAGAGGCTTGAATTCTTTACTCTTGAGAGAAGGAGGCTGTTGGTTGATTATTCAGGCCTTTAAACTTATCAAAGAGTTTGAAAGGACAAACAAAATGACATTTCTGCTGCATGAAAATCCAAAACTGGGGGTTATCAATACAGGATGATCACTAATAAATCCAATAAGAATTTCAAGAGGAACTTCTCTTTTAAAAAGTGTTTAAGGGAAAAGTGAGTTAAATACCTGGCAGTAAAAGGAATAAGAGACTATGTGTAAAGGCAAGCTGGAGGAGTTTCAAACTGGTTAGGTCCAATGTGTGCTATAACTTCTAGATAATTCGAATTATGTTCCTACAAAACCACAATCACTGCTATTAAAAGGAAAACAATAGTTGGAAGAGAATTAATGTTTTAGTCTGAAAGTTGGTATATAAACTTAATGATGTTGACGAAAATAATGTTGCACATTGCAGATTTAAGTTTTGTTGACAATGTTCCGAGCCATGAAAATCTACTGTCTTGTAACCTGATATAAGACACGTTACCACACTATGGCTGTAGCTGATTTAACGACCGCAGTTGTTTATTAAAGACAAGTTGAGTACCTATTGTTGTAAGCAAATACTCGAGGCGTTTGCGCTCTTCCTGCTCCTCCTCACTTAGCCAGCAGGTAGCAAGGGAGGGCGCCACTGCCTTCCTTCACAGAGCTGGGCTCATCCAGAATTGAATTGTAACGCCAGCAGAGGACAGCAAAGCACAAAAATAGAGGGAGCTATCAGTCCCAGTAAAATCAGGTAGAACTGCTCGAAAAGCTGCAAAGACAGAGTTCTGGTTTCACATGCAGCCCTTTACAGCCCGACAATAAACGATCTTGAAGTCGAAAACATTGTGTTTAGGCTTCTACGCATCTGCTTGACTCTGAATTGTAATAAATCATCACAATTATTTGACCTCGTCTTTTATTTTAATTGAGAAGTGGAGATTGGGCTAAGTGTATGGTTTCTCCTAAGTACCACAAAAGATGTAAACACAGTGTTAAAAATATGCAGTACAAATTACAAAACACAATGCTAGAATTTGGAATAATGTATGTTGGTCAGCATTCTTGCAAAATATTTTTTAAAAATTTACCGACATTGCTTTTTTTTCATTACAAAGCAAGTTTGGTATTTGGAGAACGCAGATAGAAAAGAGGGCGAGAAACATATATACAAGAGAGTTGGATGGAGGAGAACTTTTGCCAAATCCATTCCTGCGTTTCTGAAAGTGCGTTTTTGGCAACAAAACGCTCAGAGTAACTAACGTTGAGGACTCACCGGGGAGAAGGAGTGAGATAATCAGATAAGAGAGAGGGGAGGAGAGGGGAGGGGGGGGACAGGCGTAAGTAATTCAGGGACTGCCTTTTCTGGAGCTGAAAGCTGCGAACTGGTGAGGCAGAGGGAGGAAGAGAAAGAGAGAAAAAAAGTTTGTTGAATTGTCCTCTCTCCTCCCTCTTTCTGCGCGTTGAGTCGAGAGGGGAAAGTTTTTTTTTTGCCCTCCTGTATCTTGTCTGAAGAATCGCAGTACAGACACGCCGGCAGCCGCCCCAACTCGTCAAAGTCTGCGACTGAATTCATTCCTTTTATTTTGCAAAAAAAGAAAAATACACACGCTGAGAGAGACCGGCTCCCGGATTTCTTTGCTTTACTTCAGATCTTTTGGAGAGCTTTAAAGCGTGGATTTTTTTTTTGTTTTTGTTTGCAAAAAGCGTCCTATCGTTGATGATAACGGTTCCACGAGTTTTTTTTTAAAAAAACAAATCTTCTGTATAAGTTTGTTTTTGTTTTGATATAGTTATTTCTTCCAGTTTGAAGCCTTTCAACAAATGATCAGATAATCAAAACAAAAGCTCTTCATTACAAACAGGTAATGTTTTGTATTTTTCCCCTCTTGTTTTAAGTTGAGAGAGTGGTACCTCTGTGTTTACCGAAGACTGCATTGCTATTGTAATCATCTTTTTCAAAACTTTAGCGGTCCCTGTTTGGCTCGGCTGTGTGTTGGGAGGTTGGGGTAGTTGGAATTATGATTCACAGCAAACCGTGACTTTAGAAATCAAATGCCCTCAAAGTTTTCATTTTGCTTCAAAGCCCCATTGCCCCGTGTCGACTTTTTTTAAAAATTGTATTTCTAACCCATTCCAGCTCCTGCCTTCTTTTGTCCCATTTTACCTTTTATGGAATTCCAAAAATGTTCTGCTTTTTGCAACCTGATCCCATTTTTTTCTCTCTGGATGAGTATTTGGTTAAGTGTCGGGCGCCAGTCTCATTACGGAGTTAAAGGGGGAATCGGGGGAATTTGTGCGAGTCCCAACCCAGAGTTTCCACTGTGTCTGTGTGCGTCTTGCGGGGGGATGGAGGGGAAAAAGTTGGACCGGCCAGTTTAGCAACTTATTTTGTTGTTATTGTCAGCCGAGTCTGTGCAGTTTTGTTTTCCCCGACAGTAATGGATGTTTTGCATGGGATTCACTTGCTATCTTTGCATGTGGTAACGTGTCATTTTTTCTGTGCTTTTTAAGGAGTCCCGCGTTTACATAAAAGGCAATTTTAGGGATCAAAGTGTTACAGTAAATGCTCTTTCTGCCAAACCCTACCACCCTCTCTGTCTGTAACTAGTGATGCAAAGACCACGGACAGAATGCAACTGATTTTTTGTTTGCTACATGAAGCACTTAGGAATTATTTCCCTCCACCAGTAAAATTATTTTAATGATGCATTTTCCCCAGTCTTGCCCTGGAATTAATTGCACGTTTTGGCACCACTCGCAATTAAGAAGCGCAAACCTATTTTAATTACACGTTTACTTTCACTGAGCGATCGGGGTGTGTTGCCTGACTGGAGTATATCGTTCTGACTCTCGTGGTAAAATCTGGTCCCTTTTCTTAAACAGTTCAGTTCAAATGAGATCAACTTTGCTACACTTAAGGTCAGAGTGGCTCTTAAAGGGACAGTGCTCCCAGGATATAACAAAAAGATGATGATTGTGAGTCATCTGTGAGGTGTTACTTTTACATAATGACTCTCAATGCAGTTGTTGTAATTTTACACACACATATCTTATATGTGTATATTCTATGTGGGTGTGTGTGCTGACCAATAAAGGTCTCTGTCCAGTTGGCAGAGTGATAATTGACACAACCCTTCAGTGCTATCTGAAATACACACATTGCTAAAATTCTTTGTGCTCCTTTGAGACCTGTATCGCATCAATTATGGAGCCAATTTAATTGTACAAACACACTACGGCTAGAGCATTTGCTCTTAAAATACACCGGGAGAGTAGAAAACATTTTGGCTCACTCATGTAAAAGTTTTCTCCTCAGAAGTTCCTTTTCTGGGAACATTGAATCCTGAATTGGGTCCAACTTGCATTTCTCACTGGCACCAATTTGACCTGGTTTTTCTGAAGAAGGGCCTAGGCCCGAAACGTCAGCCTTCCTGCTCCTCTGATGCTGCTTGGCCTGCTGTGTTCATCCAGCTCTACACCTCGTTATCTCAGATTCTCCAGCATCTGCAGTTCCTACTATCTCTGATCTGGTATAGACCATCTTTGGTTTCCAAAAATGCTTTGTGTGTGTGCATATGCAGGCAGTGCTCATTCTGCCCTGTAAGCCAAGCATTCCTGCCTCTAATGCTCTTTTAAGGATGATGCAGCTTTTAAAAGAGCTGAATTTATATTTACATCCACATGATGAAACATTTTCAAAATGAATACCTAGTCAGCAGTGGACAATGAAATAATATTTTCCTTCACTAAGTATAGAAGCATTCTGAATAGATCTAATTGTTTGATTCACAGTTAAATTCTCATACTGTTTACTGTGTGCTGTCAGGTCATTTTCAAAATGGAATATAAGGTCAGATAATATGAAACATAAATTCAGGCAAGTTGTTCAGATCAGCTGTGTTTTGTTAAAAGAGTCAGTTCATTGGAACTGGCTTAATTAAATGGTGTTCATTGCTTACAATGTCATTAAAGCATCAGTGTCTTGAAAATGACCTTTGATACTAATGTTTACTCCTGTTTACAATTTGTGGTGTGTTTTTAAAAACAGTTTATCGTGTATCTGAAGCAATTTGCGTGACTGATGCTTCTTAGTGCCACAGAAGCATTTTAAATAATGGTAGATTCGACATGTGGAAACATTGGTTTAATAACCTTGCACGTTTGCTGGAACTCAAGTTTTTTTTCCCAATAACGTAGATGTAGCAGCCAGCAAGCCTCTGGAAAAGAAAATCATCCTTTAGCTCTCTCGCTTGATCTGCAGCAGAGTTTTGTAGTTTTAAATACTGAACTCGTCTTGCAGTTACTTTTTAAGATTTTGCTCCGGGCAAGTAAAAAGAGGTTACTGCAGAAGTTGAGCTCAGCTTACACAGTGGCACGCTTACATATCTATAAGATGTACACCTAAGTGCCCTTGATACTCTTGAATATACTACTTCACAGTCAATGATTGACGCAGTGATAAGGTAAAACAGTAAGTGTACCATGTCTTTGATTGTGATTTTGAATGAACACATCGTTATGCTGTGCTAATAGTAGCAGAATAGGTACAAGTTTTGTGGGCACTTGGAGCAGTATTACATAGAGATCTTATGACGAAAAGCATGGGAAATCCCACACATATTAACTTCCATGAAAGCCCTCCTGATCTGGGTGCATATATGACATCCAGTGCTGACTAACAACATTTAGATGGCATTCTACTGGTCACTTATTTATTGTGGTCAGACCACAAGAACAAAGTAAATAGGAGAAGGAGGAGGCCATTCAGCCTGTCAAAACTGATATAGTAATCAAATAGATCACGCTGATCTTCTACCTCAATGCCATTATTCTGCACTGTCCTCACATCCCTCAATATCCTAGAGTCATAGACTCATAGAGATGTACAGCACAGAAACAGACCCTTTGGTCCCACTTGCCCATGCCGGCTAGATACTAAAGTAATCTAGTACCATTTGCCAGCATTGGGCCCATATCACTCTAAATCCTTCCTATTCATGCATTCTTCCAGATGCCTTTTAAATGTTGTAATTGTACCAGCCTCCAGCACTTCCTCTGGCAGCTCATTTTATACATACAGCACCGTTTGCATGAAAATGTTGCCCCTTAGGTCCCTTTAACATCTTTCCCTTCTTACCTCAAACCTGTGTCTTTTAGGTTTGGACTCCCTTACCCTGGAAAAAGACCTTGGCTATTCACCCTTTCCATGCCCCACATGATTTTATAAAGCTCTATAAGTTCATCCCTCAGCCTGCAATGTTGTCTTTAATATCTAGGAATGGATTAAACTCCAACTTGAACACCTCAATGACTGGACATCCCAGCCCTGTGGTCAAGAATTCCAAAGGTTCACCATCTGCTGAAGCTATTTTACCTCACCTCAGTCTTAAATGGCCTGTCTCTTGCAGTGTTCCTGGAACTCGTAATGATTATTAGTGTTGAACTATTCTGTAGTTGATGGATCATGCTGAAGGTCATAAAATAGCTCTTCAGATTGTCTTACATTGCCCTTTTCAAGGCGAATGTTAACTGCTAGCGCAGTGCCCTGCAAAATGCAGCACCACAGAATGTGCAGTATGCCTTTTGGTAAGTTAATGCCACAAGTTAACTGAAAAGCTACAGCAATATTTGCTCCAAGTTTTCACACCACTTAGTGTCTTGTCAATATGCGGAGCCTCTGTCAGTGGATTGCAGTTTCAAATGCAGCCTTCTGTGAAATCTGTTAAAATTTGTTTTGTAAATCCGAGCAGCAGGCTTTGCATCTCCTGGTACAGTGAAACCTTTCAGTTATTTTGCTTTCAGTTTTTAGGTTATTCTTCAATTCTGCTTAAATTTTGTTGTTGTGCACAGATGCCCTAGCCATGTGACATAGTTACTGACACTGGCACCAGTGATTTAGTAACTTGCGCTCCAAATAATTATATTTACATACAAAAAGATTGCCAATCTGATAAAGTAATTTGCAGGATAGTTTAGCAATTGTTAGTGTCCCTTACCACTAGCTTTGGAAGAAATCATTATGTACTTATGTGACTTTATCCACATAACATTGATGATCAAACAAAATTGTCAATCTGAATTTTTTTATATAAACACATCTTTCTGGCTTTAGAAATTGTTAAGTAAATCACCAGTTTTTGATTCTAAAGTCATAGAGTCATACAACATGGAAACAGACCCTTCAGCCCAACTCGTCCATGCAGAACAAGTTTCCCAAACTAAACTAGTCTCATTTGCCTGTGTTTGGCCCATATTCCTCTAAACCTTTTCTATTCATGTACCTGTCCATATGTCTTTTAAATATTGTAACTGTACCTCCATCTACCAATTCCTCTGGCAGTTCATTTCTCACGTGAACCACCCTCTGTGTGAAAAAGTTTCCCCTCAGAACCCTTTTAAATCTTCCTCCTTTAACCTTAAAAATTTTCCCCCTAATTTTGAACTCCCCTACCCTGGGGAAAAGACCTTTGCTATTCACCTTATCTATGCCCCTCATGATTTTATAAATCTCTATGAGGTCACCCTTCAACCTCCCAAGCTGCAATGACAAAGTCCCCAGCCTATCCAATCACTCAAACCCTCCAGTCTGGGCAACATCCTTGTAAATCTTTTCTGAACCCTGTCCAATTTAATAATATCCTTCCTATAACAGGACAACCAGAACTGTACACAGCACTCCAGAAGTAGCCTCACCAACGTCCTGTAAGTGATGAAACCTGCACTATCTGCTCTTCTTCTGTTCAGACGAAGGGTCACTGGATCTGAAATGTTAACTCTGATTTTTCTCCTCAGATGTTGCCAGACCTGCTGAGTTTTTCCAGCAATTTCTGCTGTTTCTATTTGCTCTTGCAATGTGTTTAGC